CGCCAGGTCATCGTGTCGACCAACATTGCTGAGACCAGCCTCACGGTGGACGGCATCTTTTACGTCATTGACACGGGGTGGGCGGATTGGTGGGACACACCAGGGGCTCTGCGTTGCTGCCGCTAAGCGCGGCTGACGCCCCACCAAAGCCACGCGGCCACCCCTCGACTGCTGCCCCCAGCATCGCATCCCGCGGCCCGGCGGCGCCACGGCTGCGCCAGTCGCCCTGCACCGCCGGCTGAAGCCCGCATTGCATCCGACACTCAACCCCGCTCCTAGAATCCACCTGACCCCACCCCCACCCCTCTAACCCCCAGCTATGTGAAGATGAAAGTGTACAACCCCAAGATGGGCATGGACGCACTGCAGGTGCGCCTGAGGCGGGGGGAGAGGAAGGTCGGAGGGTGCACGGGTCACTGCTGCGGTATGTGACCGCGCGCATCCCGCAAGGCAGCAAGCCTTGGCCCCCACAACCTCAAGGCCAGCTGAAATTTGCTGCTCTTGCGACTCAGTTTTATCAACTCTATCTCGTCCCCACACTCACCCCTACGAACGCATGCACGCGCACATACACACACATGCACGCACTTAAACACTGTCACTCACGCGCACGACCCCGACCCGCCCACCAGGTGTTCCCCGAGAGCCAGGCGGCAGCCAACCAGCGCTCAGGCCGCGCGGGCCGCACCGGCCCCGGCACCTGCTACCGCCTCTTCACAGAGAGCGCCTTCAAGCACGAGATGCTCACGGCCAGCGTGAGCACGGGGTTCAGGGTTGCAGGGGTGTTGCTGCGCATGCGGGCGAAGGAGCGAAAATCAAGGCCTCTGGTTACTGGTTGATCAATGAGGCGATTGAGCAGCAGCCTGCGTTGTTGATGTTCACATGTATTCATTGACCAACCCCGACCCAAAACACATCGAATGACGAACCTCTGCCCCCACCTCCACCCACACAACCCACCTCCAAAACCCCCCAAAATGTCACAGGTCCCGGAGATCCAGCGCACCAACCTGTCCAACGTGGTGCTGCTGCTCAAGAGCCTGCGGGTGGACAACCTCCTGGAGTTTGGCTTCATGGACCCACCCCCCACGGACAACATTCTCAACTCCATGTACCAGCTATGGGTGGGTGGCGGCCCCCCTTGGGACAGGAGGGGGAGAGCGGCGCGCAAGGCACCCGTGGCTGTCTGCTGCTGCAGGCGTTTGCATGTTTGAAGCAGAGCGGCGGCTTGGTGCACCCGCTGCGGATGGGCCCTGGCACGGCCCCGGCTGGCGCCCGGCGACTGGGGGCCGGGGGCTGGGGGAACGTGCGCGTTGTGGGTGGCGCGGGGCGGCGGGGGACGTCAGGGGCGCCGGCCTCGGGTAGTCGACCTGCGCCCGCCGACCCCGGCGCGTTACCCGCCCACCGCCCGCCTTCCGGCCGCCGCCGCCCGGTGGCCGCCCCGTCGATCCCACGCGCAGCCATAGCCACCTCCCCCCATCAAGCGCTGCCACTGCTCAAGCCCTCGTCAACTGCACCCTAAACCCTGAATCCCTAAACCCTAAACCAGATCCTGGGTGCCCTGGACAACACGTCAGCCCTGACCGACGTCGGCCGCCACATGGTGGAGTTCCCCCTGGACCCCCCCCTGGCCAAGATGCTGCAGGCCGGCGCCCGCATGGGCTGCGGCGCGGAGGTGCTCACCATCGTCAGCGTGCTGTCCGTGCCCACCGTGTTCTTCAGGCCCCCCGACCGGGCCGACGAGAGCGACGCGGCGCGTGAGAAGTTTTTCGTGCCTGAGAGCGACCACCTCACGCTGCTGCACGTGTACAACCAGTGGAAAAACAACGGGTACAGGTGGGGGTGATTCAGGGTTTCGGGTGCCGGGTTTGGGTACAGGGTCAGTGGGCTTAGGTGTGGGGTGTGGGGTTCAGGGCCCAAGATGAGTTTTGGGGCTCAGGGATTGGGTTTTGGGGGGTTGGGGATGAGGAGTTTGAGGCGGGGAG